CTCTCTCTCTCTCTCCAGAACAAGTCCATGGAGAGCCAGAAAGCTCCTGTAGAGTTGAAGGAGGCCCCCCCAGCTCACCACCCTCCTCTGCAGCCCTTTGCAGCCGTGCCCCTCCCCGACGTCCACTCTCTCCAGCCAAAGCAAATCCAACTCCCACCCAACCCTAAAGTAAGCTGCTGTTCTCATGGCTCTGATTCCTCCCCTCGGGTCCCTCAGTTGCACTTTGGTGGTGGCGGCAGCGGCAACCTCGGTGGTGGCGGCAACGGCGGCGGCGGTGGCGGCTTGATTCACCCGGGGGCGGTCTTAAACGCTCCCGGCACTGGGACGATCCCCTGGAAGATAGGGTCAGAGTTGGCTTGTCCGTCCTCTTCTCCGCTCAAGAACGGCCCGGCGAGGAGCACCATGGCCGGCGTGTGCCGGGAGAACCCCGTCCCTTCCTGCCCTCACTTTGCCTGCTGCGGGAAACTCCACTTCCAAGCCTGTCACGGTAACCTGCACAAACTGCATCCGTTTCCCCCGCATCCGGGCTGCACGACTCCGGGCTATTTCTCCTGTCCTGAATTCAGTGGGGCGGCGGGACTCTCGGAGGAGCACCTGGCCCAGTCGGAGCGCATGCCTTGCGTTTGCACCAACTCGCTGCACCTAAAGGTTTCACCTCCCCTTTGCTTGAAGGGCTCTCACCACTGCGCGGAGTGTCTGAGCAAGGTTTGTACTCCCTGTTTAATCCTATCTTGCGATATGGGGGAAGGTGTTTTTTTTTTTATCAGTTTCTGTGCCAGGCAGGAGGGTGGGTCTGCGGCAATTTGCGACGGCCATCTCAACCACGGTGCTCTGATCCAGCTCCCCCAAATATGACCAACCCTCTGAAGTGAACTCAAAAGATACCTTTATTAGTAGCGCCGGCAGACCCGGCAAAAAAAGTTTCTCTCTTACCTCAGGCTAAGAAGTCCGTCTGGCCGGAAGATGGATAGTTGTCTGCCACATCTATTCGTTTCTGTCCCCTGCCTTTTATACCCAAAGGTAGCAGCGGTGGCTCTTCTGTCCCAAGGACCGGCCCATAGATTTCCACCGCTCTCCTCTCCTCTGCCTTCAGCGCATCCACACGTCAGGCACTGGACCCAGCTGTTCCTCCTCTTCCTCATCAACCATCTCCAGACCTGGGGGTTGTTGACTCTCCATCCGAGGGCTGGCGGACAGCCTAGGCCTAGATCCTCTCTATTTCTCTCTGGCAGCTCCATTCCCTCTTCCCCCTCGGAGCTCCGAGGTTGCCCTGATGCTGACCCTCTGCAAGAGGGGCCACAACACACAGCCAACTTGCCACAGGACAACTCCCTGCGGGAGAAGAGTTACACTAATACCAAGGAAAAGGTGGAATAGAATCGTTAAAAGGATGCAAAAGGAGGGACAGAATGAAATAGGAAACTGGCAAAAATTAAACTATTTTTTATTTTATTTTAAATAATTAAATAGAGTTGTTAAATTGTCCCTCAGCAAGTTGGCTGTGATGAGTTGTCCAGCGGCGAGTTGGCCACAGTGAGTTGGCTGTGGCTAGTTGTGCCGTCCCATCAGACGGTTCCCCTCCTCTGAGCACATCCAGGTATACGGGCTTTTCAAAATGGCTGCCGTGGGTGGGGCGAGACAAGTAGTCCTCGACTTAACGACCACAACGGAGGGCCAATTTTCTGTTACAAAGCAAGACAGTGGCCAAATGAGTTTTGCCAACCATTGTTAACTGGATCAACGCAGTTGTTTTAAGTTAGGAAAACACAGTTGTGAAGTGAATCTGGCCAGTTAGTACGAAAAACGGTTGCAAGTTACTTTTTTTCCCCAGTGCCATTGACTTCGCTCAATGGAATGTTTGTAAGTCGAGGAGTTCCCTTTGCCTGTCAAAGAACTAGCCATTCCCCTGTCGGCAAATGGAGAAGCTTCTTTTCAAAGAATACCTCTGTGGGAGCCAAAGTAAATAGAACGGCTGGCAGAGGTTGGTTTCTATGCAGTAGGCTGTGTGTGAAGGCAATTCTGTGTTTTTCCTCCGCAGTCATCCCAAGAAAATTTAGTAGAAGCAGCCAAAATGTGGCCGGATATTCCTCCTCCAAACGCCCAGGTGGCGCCCCTTTCTCTCCCACTGTGTAACGGCTGTGGAACCAAAGGAACAAGGAAAGAGAAGAGCCGCCTCTTGGCCAGCAGCTTTGGCCAGCTGACCCCGAAACACGGTAAATATCCTTTGGCTTGATCCTTTTAAAGTTACCGTAGCTTTTAACTCTCCAGCTAATCCATAGTTTCTCAATCGGGGCAACTTTTAAGTTTAAAATACAGGTCCTCGATGGAAGGCAGGTTGGTAGCAGTCCTAATTCCTCTCTGAAGTCTGTGTCTGTCCTGTTGGGTTGCAGAGCCAAACCAGACAGTTATAGAGGTGCAGATGACAGACTCAACAATTCCTCTGTAGAACTGGATTGGCAGCTCCTTGGGCAGTTTGAGCTTTCTGAATTGGCGCAGAAAGAACATTCTTTATTGTTCTTTTTCTGTGACGTTTTTGATGTTAGGAATCCATTTTAGGTCTTGAGATATGATAGAACCTAGAAATTTGAAGGTCTCTGCTGTTGATACTGGGTTGTCTAGTATTGTAAGTATTGTCTAGTATGGGAGGGTTTCTCCTAAAGTCTACCATCATTTCTATGGTTTTGGGTGTGTTCAGTTCCAGATTGTTCCGGTCACACCACAAGGGCATATACCAAGACAAATTCCTTGTGGGTCTAATCACACTTGGCCAATAAAGAATAATGTCAGCGTTCCAGAAAACGTCCACTCCAACCAATAACTCCAAGGCAGACATCTTCTCAAAAGTTCTGTTTTTATTTGGATAGTAAACTGGCACATCTGGGGAATCCTGAATCTGAAAGTTCCGGGCTTCCTTGCAATAAGTAAAAATTACAAATCCGCCCCCTGCACCCATCATCGCATCACATGCCCCAATTACCATTCATCCCAACTTAAGACTTCCCCTTACCCAGGTGCAGAAATAACATGACCTTAAATTAGAAAAAAAATGTTATTATGTCTAACTACACACACTCCAGGAAATTCCCCCCTCCCATTTTCCCAGGCTCAAAATGTGGCAGTGTGGAAGCGTCTGGCCTCAATATGGCTTCCAAAGCTGACAGATTCATTAAGATGGGTGGACTTTAATTCCCAGAATTCCTTAGCCAGCTTGGGGAATTCTGGGACTAGAAGTCCATCCACCTTAAATGTCCAAGGAGACTCTCAGTCCTCCAGGTCATGGTTGTCCCAAAGGTGCTTTTTTTTTTTTTCCCAAGAAGCAAGTGAGCTTCCTTGTTTTTCCTTTGAAGACGTTTCGCTTCTCAGATGAGAAGCGAAACGTCTTCAAAGAAAAACCAGACCATCCTCCTCTAAAGTTGGGAGTTAATCAGAGAAGTGTGGTGGTTGAAAGTGTTGGATCTTTCTCCTCCTGGACAACCCAGGCTCTCCAGAAATTGCCATTTCGAACCAGTTACTGGAAAACCTGCCTCCCATTGGGGTCTTCTGGGATATCGAGAATTGTTCCGTGCCATCTGGTCGTTCCGCCGTGACGGTGGTCCAGCGCATCCGGGAAAAGTTTTTTAAAGGCCACCGGGAGGCCGAGTTCATCTGCGTGTGTGACATTAGCAAGGAAAACAAGGAAGTGATTGAAGAGCTGAACAATTGCCAGGTAAGCACTCAAAAGATCCGTGGGGGGGGGGG